ATCAAACTTACATCGTTTAGGTACAGTATCAAACTTACATCGTTTAGGTACAGTATCAAACTTACATCGTTTAGGTACAGTATCAAACTTACATCGTTTAGGTACAGTATCAAACTTCACCGTGCTCCAGATTCTTTAAGTTAACCTTTCAGTTTTCAACGTGATCCCGATTCTTTAAGTTAACCTTTCAGTTTTCACCGTGATCCCCATTCTTTAAGTTAACCTTTCAGTTTTCATCGTATTCCCAAGATTTCTTCAGTTAACCTTTCAGTTTTCACCGTGATCCCCATTCTTTAAGTTAACCTTTCAGTTTTCACCGTGCTCCAGATTCTTTAAGTTAACCTTTCAGTTTTCATCGTATTCCCAAGATTTCTTCAGTTAACCTTTCAGTTTTCACCGTGCTCCAGATTCTTTAAGTTAACCTTTCAGTTTTCACCGTGATCCCCATTCTTTAAGTTAACCCTTCAGTTTTCATCGTATTCCTAAGATTTCTTCAGTTAACGTTTCAGTTTTTACCGTACTCCACAAATCCTTTAATAACCACCGCCCTTCGCGAACACACCATAATGCATATATTATGTATTCTCATCCCGAGGTTACGGATTTCATCATCCATATAACGGTATATTGTGATTAACAAAATTAGTCATTAGAGTCAGAAAGTTTGTATTCAACTAGTGTTCTGTTTATAAGTACATTCACTTACTCATCATGACGTCAGTTCGTACTGGTTAATTATTACGTTGCATGTTGTAGAGTGGTCTTTCTTTGGCAGCCACGAGTTAGCTTTCATGTACCCACCAAGTAATGATGTACCATGATTGGTCATGGCTGCATGTAATAATATATCATGAACAATGTCATGGCTCCAACTATTACGACCCTCTCTACAAATCTAAGTTGAAGGCTTAAGGAGAATTTAATTATTAAACACAAATATATTGTAGGTCCTAATAAAGGTCAAGGTTACAATAATGGTCACTATAAAACACCAGGTCAACCAAATACTACACTAGAATGTGTATGAGAACCGTCCAGTTCCAGTGGCAAAGACTGAGTTCTAAGCCCACAGTATTCAGAGGGTAAAACACACACACACACACACATATTACTATTTTTTTGTGTTAAAGCCACCACGAACACTTACAGGCTTTTTTTTCTGACAAAATTTTCTAAAAACTCAAGTTAGAATTTTTTCGGATAGCTCAACAAGTGATAACTGATCTTAAGATTTGTGTTGTTTTGTGATATTTGAATTTTCTACATTCCAGTTATGAAGATTTATTTGAAATATACGCTAACAGAGAAGCAAAGGAAATTGTTTCCTTTGATGTGTAAAAAAATCCCTTGGAAAAAACAACTAATTTTTGCACTGTTTTAAAGCCAGGTTTGTGAACTTTTTCCAAAGACTCAAAAATTGCCCAAAAAAAACACGATTTTTCGAAAAGAAAAACTCAATAGAGAAATAATGTTTGGCCCTGAAAAAATTGCCCAAAAAGAAAGCCCGACTTACCGCGAGGTAAGTAGTCCAAGCGATCAACGAATCCAGTTCGGTTTCTCCCATACATTACTCTTCATTTCATAAACAAACACTGGCATTATCCTGAGAGTACATACAGAGTTACCATCACTAGGCACGTGACCTTACACGTTACACAAACACTGATATTAACCTAGAGGTACGTGCAGAGTTGCCATCACTGGGCACGTGACCTTACACGTATATCAATGACAACATACTTGGGTGATATAGCTCAGAACGCTTTTTTTTTTTATTTTTTTTTTTTTGTCTGGTCACAGTGCAAGGCCACAATTGGAAATTTCTAAAATTATAGCGTGAATGTCACGCAGTGTATGCACGTGAAAACAACCATTTTCCACCCTAAACATACACACCTGTAAGTTCGTAAGAACTATAAATACAATAGCAAAAATTTCAAGTACGTATTGTCGTAATAAAGGAATTAATTATATTTTTTTAAACATCAATTATCATTGTTCTTATTTTGCAGTTACTCAACAACAAAGTAGTTACTGTAATAATTGTGAGTTTGAATCGTTAATGTATTGACGGAGGTGGCTACATTTAAATTCAAGGAGGCAGTTTCATCTGTGAGATAAAACTTAAACTAACTGTATAGTACAAACAAACTGATAATAATTCACATATTTATTGATGAATCTTATTGGATAAATAAGTAACCAGTTAGTATTCTGAATAACAATTGACAGAATGTCACGTTTTCCAAGCAGCTAAAATATAATAGGTTATTAATGGCGACAGAATGACCAGGGATTTTTTCAAGACCTTTGGTTATTAGTGGTCACAGAATGACCAGGGATTTTTTCAAGACCTTTGGTTATTAGTGGTGGCAGAATGACCAGGGATTTTTTAAAGACCTTTGGTTATTAATGGCGACAGAATGACCAGGGATTTTTTCAAGAGTTTTGGTTATTAGTGGTCACAGAATGACCAGGGATTTTTTCAAGACCTTTGGTT